CCCCGGGTCAGGATGAAATGACCCTGGAGCTGTGCTGGGCGGGGACCAGCCTCCTGCTGTCAGGGCTCCAACAGTGCCTGCAGGACAGAGGTCCTGAGGTCGGGGTGTGCTCCCTGTATGTTTGGGGCAGGCTGGGCAGGACACAGCGATGCTGGGCGGGGACAGGCTGGGCAGGACACAGCGATGCTGGGCGGGGACAGGCAGGGGCTGTGCAAAGGGGTCTAGCTACATCCTGAGGGGGTGGGAGAAGCCGCTGGCAGACCCAGGTACAGCAATGACATCTGTCAGACCTGTCTGGGTGCTCACTGGGCCACCTGAGGAGGAGGTTTCAGGGGCACAGTGGGTGGCTGTGCAGTGACAGGTTCCGTGGGAGACTCTCGGGGCAGCAGGGTAGGATGTTGGAGGCAGACATGGTGATGGAGATGGAGGAGGAGCCCAGGGGCCCTGGCTTGTGGGCAACCTGGTACCTGGGTGGCGCACTATTCCCCAGGCTCGGGGTGCCACAGGGGACAGCGGTTTCTGGAAGGAGCAGAGGAGCAGCATGGGTGGCCTTGGATTTAGAAGGTTGGGTCTGAGGCCCTCAGAGGCCACACAGGTGGTCTGCCTTGGCTCTGGATTGTCTGTGGCTCTGGGGCCACACTTGTGCCCAAGGCTGGCCTTAGGTCAGCTTGAGCAATGGGGGAAGAGTGTCAGAAGTTCCCCTGCTCCAGGATGCTGGACTGTTTTTGCTGCAGGGGGAACGGCAGTCTGTAACCACCCCGCAGGTGACCTGTGAGGTGCCGGGGAGCCAGCCGGGCAGCGGGACGCGGTGGGTGTTGCAGATGCAGAGCGCCTGGCAGGGCTACTGCTCCTGAGAAGGAGGCCACTGCAGATGGGGTGGGTCAAGGCTGGGACCAATGAGCAGCAGCTGGGGTCCTGGCCTCCTGTCCCGCCTCCCGCCTCACCTGGTTCACCATGGCCCCTGGGTGACTGTTGTTCACGGAGTTCCCCACAGCGTGTGGCCACACGGCCTTGCCCCAGCTGGTTCGGGCTGGCCTGGGCAGTTCTTCTCCTCCAGGCAGATCCTGCCTCTGACCCCAGGGATGCTCCAACCACGTGCAGTGCAGAGGGCACAGACACAAGCATTGGGAGCCCTGACCCCCAGGCCCCTCACCCGCAACACCTTCCCCAGTGCAAGCCCTTATTTATGATGCTGCTGTTGCACTTGGTGTCCCCACAACACTGGCTGATGCGTGGTGCCTGTGTGGGCCAGCACACGTGGGGTGACCAGCAGGGTCATTCAGCACTGGCTGCTCTCTCCTGTTTCCAGGGCCTTGGTGCCCGCTTCTCCCGCTGCCCCTGTGACCCAGCCTCAGTGCACGGTGACTTACGGTGCTGTTAAGGTTTCCTGTGGGGCCAGAGGCAGCCCGGGTTGGGGTGTTGGCCCAGAGTGACCAGCACCGCTGCCCTCCCAGCACCGCAGCGAGCTCCCCCAGGGACTCGCCGTCTGTTATTTGCCTGCTCATCAGAAACGAGACCGTGGAGGAACCTGCCAGGACGGGCAGGTGCCCGGTGACCTGGGACCTAGCGAGCCTGCTGCTGGCTTTCTGCTCTGTGGGGTACCGGTGCCAGGTGCAGAGTGGCCCTTGGTTAGCCCAGGGTGCAGGCCTGCGGGAGGCACAGCCCCTCGGCAGCCACTTTTCTGTGACTTTTCTTTTGTGCTTGAAACTTCCCCATCCTGTATTTTGGGTCCCTGGGGCTGAATCTGACTCTGCCCTGTTCCTGGTGACGATTTGTGGCTCTGCTCCTGCCCACACAGAGGGGTCCTTGACGGGGATGATGGGCCTTCGTGGCCACATCCCCTGGTCCACGCAGACCTGCTGCCGGGTTCCAGGCCTGGCTGCGCCGCGGGGCCTCTGGGTCAGGGAGGGCAGCTCTGCGCCCCCTGACGCTCCCCCCAGGTGAGGGTGATTCTCACCCCTTCGCTGGGTTTCCTTCCCTCTTCGTGTTAGTGCACACGTCACGCGTCAAGGCAACACGCACGTGAGCACAGCCTGCCGGGATTCTGTTTTAATCCCACCAGGGGACAGCCACCACCTGCCGTGGGCCTGGGTGCAGCCAGCAGCCCCTGTCCCTGCTGCTGTGCACCTTCTTCTTATTATTATTTTTTTTTAATTTTATTTTTAGTGCCACTGGCGATGGGATCCAGGGCCTCCCACGTGTTTGGCAAGCCCTCCACAGCAGAGCACACCCGCGCCCCAGCCCACTTTCAGTGGTCCCTGCCACACCCAGGTCACCACACACACACCTCTGCTCAAAGCCAGCCCAGCTCCCGTCTCACTCCAGGGAGGCCACTGACTGCTCTGTGGCCTCGCCGGCCTCCCCCCTCTGCCTCTCCATCCCTCCCCTCGGCCCTCGCGGCCTCTGCTCCCCTCTCTGGCCCTGCCTCTTGGGCTCTCCCTCCTTCTGAACTATGTGGCTGACCAGAAGGCCTCCGCTCCACCCCAGGGGAAGACCGCCCTGCAGTCCTGCTTGTGTGTCTCTGTGGCCTCTTCTGTCTCTGTATTTTCTGCTCCTGTCGCAAGGGGCAAAAGGGGCCACATCTGCAGTTGAGGGGGGAGAGAAAGAATGTCCACGTGCTTTTTTTTTTAACTTTACTTTATTTATTTATTTATATGTGGTGCTAAGGATGGGACCCAGCACCTCACACGTGCTAGATGAGCGCTCTACCACTGAGCCCCAGCCCCAGCCCCTCTGTAGGTTCTTGATCAAGAAAACGACGATCCTTAATGCAAGGCGCTGCAATAGACATAATCAGTTCACAGCACACAGTTCTAGATTAATTAATTCTAAGCACTGCAAACACACTCAGTCATGACAGGCTCCTGACAGACATTCCTTCTACATGCTAAGTTCAGGTGCTGGGTGTAAAGTCTCAGGCCTTAGGCTCCAAGTCCACAGATGCCCACTCACTCAGATGCCGTGATCAGGTCAGGAACCAAGGCAGACTTCCCCTGGGGTGGAGCCGATGGCCAGCTGAGGGGATCAGACACCTCCGGACGTCACCTCGGGAGTCTTGGAGAAGCCTGGCCTCGGGGTTTGGCCAGCGTGGCGCGTGACGCGTTTGAAATCTCGTACTTCCTTCTTTGATTTTTCAAGTCTATTGATCTAAATTGCAGGTCCAGGAATTATTCACTTGTGAGAGCTTTTATGTGGGTCATCCTGTGAGTCACTTGAGGCTTCAGTCATTTTGTGGCGTGGTACTGACTCTTGTCTAACTCTCTCTGTTTGGATGTGGAGACACTCGCCTGGCTCCCACTCATGTCTCGCAGCCTGTGACCCTCCTGTCATCGTAGTTGTGATGATTACGGAGGAGCGGGAGATGCTGGGGTCCCGGCAGACAGTTTGACCACGTCCATGTGTGGCTTACTCTATTCCTGCTCCTGACACCTGCCCCAGCCGGCCCTGAGCTTGCTGCTGAGACACACAGAGACCTCCTGTTAGCTCCTGGTCCCCTGGGAAACAGAAGAGGTCGGGGCAGTCTGGGGGACTGAGTGCAGGGTCATATTGAGGCTGGATTTGGAGGGGCCCCTGAGGACGAGGCCAGCCCTCCAAAAATAGGGACCTGTTGGGAAGGCAATCTCTGGGGATGAGGAGCCGTGGTGGAGAGCTGTCTGGGGGTGGGAAACCTGTTGGGTGTGTGGGTGTGGGTTTCGGGACACCTGCCCGGGAGCCTGGGGGGTGGTCCTGTGTGCCACTTACTCACAGAGTGGAGAAGAACGCATAAGAAGCAGGCAGAAATTGCATTTTGGAGACAGTCGTGAGATCGGGACTTCCCGGGTGCCGTGAGCAGGCTGCGCTCCCAGCTGGCCTCTCCTCTCCCCACCCCCCGTGGAGCCCAAGGGCCCAGCTGTCAGCCTCTCAGAGCTTCAGAGGAGCAGGAGCTCAGCTCAGACTGTCCCTCCCTGGGTCCTTGTGTTTGGCTACCACAGACAATGGCTTTAAAACAGATGCAAGTGACCACAGAGGCCATGTAACCTAGATGGTGACCTGTCCTGGGTTCACAAAATCTGACTATTCCAATAACTCGAGAGAGCGACAAAGCACACAAACACACAGAAGTACCTTTTCAAAATCTAGGACGGTCTCCGACCTTAAGGGTCCGTGGAAAGAGAGAGAGCCACCAGAATTCTTTATTCTCATATAGGGGACACGGGGGAGGTTCCAAGGAACATTCTATCCCAAATAGGGCAAAGGGGTAGGATTACAAGTCACAGGTGGGTGTAGTCAACCCCACGGGTAACGCCTCCTCCTGGAGCCACGCCTTGTTCCAGCTGGGGTGACGCCCTTGTTACTGCCAAGGTGACAACTGTTCAGGCCCCGGGGCATCAGGACTTAACACATAAGAGGGATTCATGAGGAAGCTTTGGACTCCAGCCTGCCTGTTCCCAGGGGCCCTGCTTGCCGGGGGTCTTTCACGACCTGCCATCCCCGCAGCTGAGCTCCCAGCACTTCCTCTGATCTGTGGTTCTGTGACTGCAGCCTGCTGGGGACCTGAGGCGGGCGGGCGGCTGGCTCCTGGGCTGGTATTAGAGAATGTCCCCGCCACGTCTCCCTTCCTCCCTGCTCCTAGGCACCCACAGCCTTTCCAGAGCCCCCCAAGCTGGGTCCTGACTCTCACATTTGGTGGCCCTGGTGTCCCGCATCCTAGGTGCCCCCTTCTGCCCTCGGGACAGACTGTGGCATTGGAACATGTCTCTTCATATTTCACGCAGCAGCTGGGCAGGGGGTCGGCATCGCGGCTTGAACTGTGGGCGAGTCATGTGAAGAGCAGCAGTGGTGTTTGATGGGTGCTTGGGCCACTGTCGTCTGGTGACCCCTGGTGCCCGCTCTTTCTTATCCCTGAGCCATAACCCGCGTCCAGACTCCCTCCCAGTTCTCTAACCAGGGCGTCCAGGCAGGTGACCTCAGCATTTCGGAGCGAGCCGACTCCTGTGGCTGACGCACGTCCGTCTTTGCAGATGCCTTCTCGGTGCCCGTGTCTGAGATCATCACCGTGGAGGAAGCAGACACTCACAAGAAGTGCCACGCCAGTGGCCAGTGGCAGAAGATGGGACCGCCTTGCGCATTCACAGGTGAGGGCACCTGGGTGTCACCTCCCGGTTCTCCTTTGGCTCTGGGCAGGTGACGCATGGGGAGGGGGCTTTTCCCCAGGCCCACTAGTGCAGTGGTCTGGCTGCTCCTTGTTGACTCTTCATCTCCCCAAGGTCCACTTCTTGTGGTTGTCCACTGTCTGTTTTCTTATTCTCTTTATTTTTAACGTGGCTTGAAGGACCTGAGAAGTGGCATGTTGTATCTGATTCACACTGTCACTGACTACTAGAGAGTGAGCCCCTGGCTTGCAATCAGGGCGAAGCTGTGGGTGGTGTGTCGCCCGCTGCCTGTCACCCACCCTGACCCGTGCATGCCCGTCTCTTGCAGTTCACTGTGTGAAGCGAGCTCGACGTCACCGCTGGAAGTGGGCACAGGTGACTTTCTGGAGCACGGACGAGCAGCTGTGTCACCTGTGGCTGCAGACCCTCCGGGAGCTGCTGGAGAGACTGTGTATGTGTGTGTTCAGACTGGTGAAGGGCAGCTGCGGCAGGCGCAGGGCCAGGATTTGACTGCCCTGGGCACGACCGGTGGTTTCCTGATGCTAGGTGTATAGAGGACAGCCTGCAGTGGTGGAGGTGGGTGGGCTCTGCAGCAGGGCACTGGTGTGAGCCCCAGGTGACTTCGTGGCAGCCAGACCCGAGGCAGGTCACTCAGCCTCCCGGGCCTCAGCTTCTTTCTCCAGAGGTGAGGATGGAACAGGTCGTGGAAGAATCGCCCCTGGCCGGGCGCATCTACAGGGCAGCAGGGGCCCAGTGTGTTAGTGACTCTGTGCTAGTGGCAGGTCTTCCTGTCACCTTGAAAATGGCAGGCGCTGCTCCTGCTGAGCCCGCGGCACCACCTCATGGTGTTGCTGCAGCCAGCTCACAGGTGCAGCCCAGGGCGGGAGTGGCATGTGCTGGTCAGCCTTGGCCTTTTGGACCACTCTGCATCTGTGTCCAACAGTGAGTTGTCGTGCCTCCGAGGAAGGCTCCCCCCACCCACTTCACAGGAAGGCCTTCCTTGGGAAGCGTGTCTTGTGACTCCCCTGGGGAGGAGGACTTGTGTTTCTGCATTGCTGTGCCCTGTGGCCCTCCAAGTCCGTCTGATGGTCCTTCTCTGAGCTCTGCTCCTCTCCCTGTCCTCCTGTGCAGCTTCTCCTGCCTCCTCTGTCTGACTCCAGGCCCCCCTCTTGCCCCGACTTACCCCCCGCCCGCAGTCTGTTCTCAGGAGACTGCGAGCTGTGGAGTCGAGGCTGGAGGCCTGGGGAGTAGACTCCTCTGGAGTGACGTGGATTTTATTTCCATGGAGTTCTTAGAAAACCCCATATGATTGTGCATTTGGTATGGTCTCCTGGCATCTAAAAATAGCACATGGTCCTGTTATTCCACTATCTAGTTGAATTTCTCCTCTGTGACTGCTCTAGTGTCTCATTGCAGTAAAACATAGACACACACCCGCTGAGCGAGGGGCTGGGTGAGCTCTCGCACTGACACGCTTGCCACGCACCCAGGCCTGGAAGCACAGTGCCCCAGGCCTCAGCCCTATGGCCATTACTCCAGGGCCACTGCTAGCTGCCTTCTAAACAGCCAGATCCCTTGCGCACCCTACGCAGCTGGGTGGTGTGACCTGCACTCTTCTGTGTCTGCATGGGACTGAACTCATGAGTGTGACGTTTGCCACGTGGTGTGTGGTTGCAGGTGGTTCCTCCCCAGCTGTGTGGATTCCCTGAAGGGAATGCACACTGTGTCACCCAGTCATCTGGATGGCCCTCTGTGGGCCACTGTGCACGTCAGCGTCCCCCCATCTTGTGAAGCCTTTTTGTGCATGATCATGCGTATCTGGGGTGATACCCAGCAGTGGACTGGGCAGCCCCACAGTTCCCTGAGGTGGCGGTGGTGCTCGGTACCTTCTGTCTGGGGGTGCGTTCCTGCTGCTCCGGGTCCGACCGCACCTTTGCACCTTAGCCGCTGTGTGAGCTGCCCTGTATGCTGCTGCGTGATGTCCCCAATGGTAGAGAAGCCGGGCAGATGCACATCCTCATGGGGTTTCTGTCGGCCCTTTGCCCACTATCTGTTGGCTTGCTCCTTTCCTCAGTGGTCGGTGGGATCCTGACGTTCTGTGGACCTGACTTTCATCAGTCTGAGAATCACAGTTGGCTCCCCGCCTGTGTCTCGCCCGGGTCCCTTGTTGGTGCCTTCTGATGGACTGGCATTCCTGACCGCGTAGTCGGGTTGTCTGTTTCCTTTTAGCTTCATGGTCAGCCTGGCCACTGGACAGCCTCGCCCACCCTGGGGTCAGGAAGTGCTGTCTTCCCCAAGCCCCGCTGCCTCCTCACACACGTGGCCCACAGTCCCTTTGGATGGAGGACGTGGCCGAGGCTCATCTTCTTTTTATACTATGGTTATTTTTGCTGCACTGGGGAGTGAAGGCAGGGCTGCTCTCCACACCCCCAGCCATCTTTACTTTTTTATTTTATTTTGCTTTTTTGAGACAGTGTCTCTCCGAGGTGCCCAGGCTGCCTGGGAGTTGCAGTGCTCCTGGGTCAGCTCCTGGGTTGCCGGGACCACAGGTGTGCTGCTGTGCCCGGCAGAGGTCTGCTGCCTCTGGACACACTCGGGGCCCCGCCACCGGGGGAAGGCGGCCTTTGCCCTCTGGGCCATGGTGCTGCCACTTAGGCTTTTGCCCTTTGCGGCTGCTGTGGAGCCGTGTGACAGAGCTGTCCTGCCTTGCTCCTGAGACCCGGCCAGCTGGCTCGATACAGCTCAACACGGAGCTTTTGGCTTCCTGTCACGCACGGCGGTGTCCCCTGTGATTGGGGCAGTTCTGTCTCCTCGTTTTCCCTTCTCCTCCTTCTGCCAGGTTTGGGCCGACAGTGCTGGGGGCAACACCTTGGTCCTGACCTTGGGCAAGGTTTTCCACATTCACCCTCAAGACAGTTTCTTAGGATCTGAAGATATTTTAAAAATCAGATTAGGGAAATTCTCTTGCAGCCCCAGTTTTCTGAGAACTTTGGTTTTTAACTCATGCTTGGGAGTTGAGTAGATGCTATTTCTGCATGTTGACATGATGGAGGGCTTTGGAGCTAAGGTGTGGGACACAGAGACTCTACTGATGACCCTGTGCACTGGAGCCAAGCCCCTCGGCTGCTAGGAACACCTGCTGTGCCCATGCTGCGCTGCACCTCTGTATAGGTGACAACAGAACTGCCACTGTGGTGGCACCTGCCTGCTTGCTGTCTAGGTCACGAGCGTCCAGAGGTTTCTCCTGGATGGTGGCACCTGCCTGCTTGCTGTCTAGGTCACGAGCGTCCAGAGGTTTCTCCTGGATGGTGGCACCTGCCTGCTTGCTGTCTAGGTCATGGGTGTCCAGAGGTTTCTCCTGGATGGTGGCACCTGCCTGCTTGCTGTCTAGGTCATGGGTGTCCAGAGGTTTCTCCTGGATGGTGGCACCTGCCTGCTTGCTGTCTAGGTCATGAGTGTCCAGAGGTTTCTCCTGGATGGTGGCACCTGCCTGCTTGCTGTCTAGGTCATGAGTGTCCGGAGGTTTCTCCTGGATGGTGGCACCTGCCTGCTTGCTGTCTAGGTCACGAGTGTCCAGAGGTTTCTCCTGGATAGTGGCACCTGCCTGCTTTCTGTCTAGGTCATGAGTGTCCAGAGGTTTCTCCTGGGTGGTGGCACCTGCCTGCTTGCTGTCTAGGTCATGGGTGTCGGAGGTCTCCTTATTCTGTGTTCTGGAAGAGTTCATATAACCTCAGACGGGTTGTTTTGAAGTACGTGGTGGAATCTGAAGTGGAAACGTCAAGGCCCGGGTTCCTGTGTGGAGGTTTTATAATGCTCCCCAGTCTTTCCTAGGCATGAGAGTATTCAGATTTAAGTATCTTCTGACATCTTTGGTAAATTGTGCTTTTTATGGAGATGTGGGTCCACCTCACGCACATCTAGAAGTTGCAGCGTGAGTTCCCAGCACCCTCTACTTCCTTTGCGCCATCTGCCTCCTGGAGTGATGTCCCCTCTGCCTCCTGGATGGGTCACTTGTGTTTTCTCCACTCTTCTTTTTTGGATTGATTAGAGATTTATCTCTCTTATGAGTCTTTTCAAGGAACCAGCTTTGGTCTTGGGGTTTTCAGGCATGGTGTCCCCTCATGTCTTATTAGGAACACTGTGCACATGCGAGATCCCGGGGGACGGCTCTTCACACTTCTGGGTGCCCCACCACGATTGGGCTGTTCGGTAGTGTCCACCCCCGATGCATAGTCATGGTTTTGCTGCATTTCTAAGTAAGTGGCCGTTCAGCACGCTGGACCCTTGGACGCTTTGCATGCCTGTCACAGTCGAGGCAGCGATGGTTGTAATTCTGGGGTGGAATCCATCGTACCTTGGCGACTTGAGACACACATTGTGTTCACTGGGTCTTGAATCAAGCACACCTGTGCTCTGTGCTCCGACCTGTGAGACGTCCATGCCAGCAGGCCCCTCTTCTCGGCTGGTGTGGGCTGGACTTGTCTTGTGCCCGTCCTGTATCGTGGACTGCTGGGTGCGAGCAGCTGTGGGGGTCTCTGCTTGGTCTTGGCGTGTTTCACGTTGGTGGTGTTCTATGGTTCTCTCCCTTTTGTGAGTGAAGAATGCTCTTCTTGTTTGTCCAGCCACCTCCCAGGGACCCGGGTACCCACACTGGCTATCGCGAGGCCTGCAGCAGTAGGCGTTTAGGTCCTGGTTTCGCTGTGGAGTTACAAAGTCTTCAACCTTCTTGGGCGCGTTCCTCTTGTTCCTCTTGATTGTTAGTTCCACTTGTTTTTCTGAGTTGCAGAGCTGACCAGTTCTTCTGGAACTGACCACAGCACACGCGGGGAAGTTGCCATAAGAAACCCACTGTCTGGGAAACTGGGGCCTCGGCGCTCTGCCGGTCTCCCGTGTGCTGCTCTGCCCTCCCTCTGTTCGTCTCAGCACCAACTTGGTGTCTGTCCGTCTCTCCACGTGTTCCCTTCTGCACGTCTGACTCATTCTTTTTATTCTCTGCTGACCTGCCCCCTGCAGCCTCCCGTGCCCAGACCACCTGGGATGGTCAGGGAGAGTCCCCTGGGCAGGATTCCCGAGTCCTGGGCCTTCATTCTGGAGTCCTGGCCCTTCCTTGCCCCCGGCAGAGGCACACGCCCCTCCCGGCTGGTGGACAGACTCTGGCTCGCCCCTTCCCGTAGCGGGAGATGTGTGTCCTTGTTCTTTACGACCTACAAGCTGTGGTCTCCTGCCCATTCGTGTACAAGGAGTTGAGATCATTCTGCTGTCACGTTTGACCCACCAGAACAAATCATTCTAAAAAAGAAAGAAAAAAAGGCCCACACGCACTTCTGTGTCAGGCAACCTGAGGCAGAGTCCTGAGTCTGATCTGCGTGTTCCTTAGTCACTGATGGTGGCTCTCGTGTGTGGTTCTGCAGCATCTAGACCCAAGCACCTGCTGGTGTTCATCAACCCACTCGGAGGAAAGGGCCAAGGCAAGCAGATATACGAAAGGAAAGTGGCGCCGCTGTTCACGCTGGCCTCCATCACCACCGAGGTCATCGGTAAGGCCACGGCGGCGGGGAGGAAACTGCACTATTCAGACGCGGTCACTGGAGGAGAGTTTGTCCCATAAGAGCAGTGTACACAAAACAGGGTTCTGTTTGCACACCAGAATGGAAGAGCAGGGAATAAATCGTGTCGTCTCTTCTAGCCAAGTCTTAGCCAATCAGGTGCTCAGGAAGGACCTGAGCAGACAACAGACAAGGGTCACAGACAGGAAGTCCTTGAAGAAGAAGTACAAGGTGGACAGTGCAGTCCCAGGTCGCACGCCCAGTTCTTGAGGGGTGCCGGGCGGCAGGACTTGGAGGGTTCTGGGTCACACTGGCAGGCTGAGGATGAGGCCACGGCAGAGCCCTTGCCGGCTCAAGGCCCCGGGTTCTACCCCAGGCACTGGACACCACAGGCCCAGGGCCTGAAAAGGGAGGAATTTGGACCCAATAATCTGTCCCTGGAGTCTTTCCAAGGAATGCGATCAGCTGTACCCTGAGTGGGGTGTCCAGGTGTCCTTGCCAGACAGCAGCCTGCTGCAAGCCACTTAGATGCCCCCAAACAGAGGACATGATGAGCAACTGTGGCAAGTCCAAGGGAGTATCGAGTAGCTTTTTAAAGTAGTTTTATGGCCAGACTGCAGCCACACCTGTCACCTCAGGACCCAGGAGGCAGAGGCAGGAAGATCACAAGTCTGAGGCCAGCCTCAGCAAGTTAGCAAGATCCCGCCTCAAAATAAACTAAAAAGCAGCTCAGTGGCCGACCACCCTGGGTTCCATCCCCGGGACTGGGAGGGAAAGGGTATTCACAAAGTAGTCCCAGTGATGATAAAGTGATTGTGAGAAAGCAAACACACAAAACTGTGCACAGACGTGGGTCAGAGACGGTGGACTGACGTTCGTCTCTACGCTTGCGTGTGCTTTGACATTGCACAAGTGGCCTGGACAGTAGGGGAGGCGGATGTGGCCGCTGTTAGGTTCCAAGGGAGTCAGACTGGCCTAGTAGGGGGCCTGCCCACCCAGGCCACCCAGTCCCTTCCTGGGGAATGCTGGGTGGCCCCGCAGGGTTCTGGCCACTGCCCTCGCCGTCCACGTGAGTCACAGCTCACAGGCATGGACATAACCTACCATGTCCCCACAGTGACCGAGCGTGCGAACCAGGCCAAGGAGACCCTGTGTGAGGTCAGCATGGACAAGTATGATGGGTGAGTGAGTGCTGGGCAGCAGCCCTGACCCTGAAGTGAGCTGCTCACAGAACGTCAGGGTGGGCAGGGGGCTGGCCCAGGCACCCCTCAGAGACCACCCTGGCCTGGTGGCTCTGTTTGCCTTTCAGTCTCCCAGAGCACTTCTCACGTGGTCACGTAGGAGAGCAGTGACCTGGCCAAGGGCACTGTCACGTGGAGTTGAGGTGGTGTTCTGGTTTGGGATCCTGCTTTTCTGTTACTGTTAGCTGTGAAATATTATCGTAATGCCCTTATCATCTTCTATGACATAGATGTGCCGTAACTTAACTAGTCTCTCACTATTCGGGCTCTTTCCAATTTTTGCTCTTTAAGTAAGGGAACATTACTGAATACAAACCTCTCTGCATATTCTGGTTTTGGGGGGTTTTTTCAAGATGAATTCCTAGAAGTGGATATTTTCCTTGGGGTTGGGGGTTGAACCCAGGGCCTTTTGCACCAGGTCACAAGCTGTACCTCTGGGCTACTTACCCAGCCTGAATTTAGGGTCTCGAGGGGAGCTGGCAGGGGCTGGTCCCGTAGCCACTCTCAGCCAGGCAACCTCTGAAGTCCCAGGCCCAGAGGGAAAGCCAGCCTTGGCCACAGTCCCATTGGAGGGGCAGGGAGGCACGGCCTCCTCGTCAGGGACGTTTGGAGGGCCAAGTTCCCGACACCAGCGGAGGGCCCGACCTGCCGTGGTGGTGCTGGGAGTGCTGACCACCTCTCCTCTGCAGCATCGTCTGTGTCGGTGGCGACGGCATGTTCAGCGAGGTCCTGCACGGTCTGATCGAGAGGACGCAGAGGAGCGCCGGTGTGGACCAGAACCAGTTCTGCGCCAAGCTGGTGCCCAGCCCCCTCAGGATCGGCATCATCCCCGCAGGTACGGAGCCCGGGCGGCGCCCTGACGTCCCGCCATCTGACTGAACCCAACTCGCTCACACCTGTGTCCTGCCTCAGGCGCTTCCAGGGGAGAATCCTTCTGGGCTTCTCCTCTAGGTTCATTACTCAAACTATCCCCATACGATGACCGCAGTCCCTCTGGGTCTTGTTTGTTTGTTTGGCTTTTTTGGGGGGTGGACCCCAGGGCCTCCCATATGCCAGGCCAGGACTCTACCACTGAGCCGCATCTCTCGCCCCCAGCGGCCTTCTTTTTTGAAAGATAGTGTGTGTCCAGTAAAATGAACACTCAGGCGGGTCTGTAAGGGACCTTGTCTGCTCCCGAATGCCAGCCGTGTGCAGGACCCAGGAGCCAGCGCAGGGGTCAGGCTCTGCTCCTCAGGAGCCAGGGGTCGGGGCTGAAGCCCTGGAGGGGGGGCGCCTGGTGCTCGGGGCAGGCGAGGCTGTAGAGGTGGTCTTCAGCAAGAGGTGGCTTCTAGCTGACCTGGAGGGTTGTTGGGGTGGGTGGGCAGGAGGAAGGATGTGGGTGGGGAGGGAAAGGGCCAGCCAAGTGGCAGGGCCTCCTCACGGCCTGGCGGACGGGCTCTGCTCCCGAGGTGTCCATCTGGCTTGGTGTATTCACCATCTTTCTAGGAAGCAGATTGTTCTTAGAAACATCTCAGCTAGACAGTGACCAGCTGGCCCGTGACAGGGCAGCAGGCACAGCTTCCTTCCTCCTGTGCCTGGGTCGGCACAGCCACCGCCCACGCCATGGGTAGCTTCACCCCGACGGCTCCTGAAGTCAGTCGGTGGACACAGGCAGGAGGCACTGGGGGGTTGCCCACTCACCAGGTGGGCTCAGGGGTTGGGAGCTGAGAGTCCTCAGTTGGCATCCGGCCCCAGGAGGGACGCCTTGGTTACTGGGCCAGCCTCTGGCCCCTGAACCCTCTCAGGCAGAGATGTGACCCTTCCACTTAACCTATGATTCCCCATGCTGGGCCGAGGACGTCCCCGTGGGCAGTGGCCTGTGCCTGTTCTCAGGACAAAGCCTCCCTCTGGGCCACATTAGCAGCTCAGCCTGCAAGTCCAAGGTGGCGATCAGCAGAGATGCTGGGGTTGTCATCTGAGATCCCGCCCATTTGGATGGAGTGGTGACTGACACCTGTGGCGTGATGCGCTTCCTGAGCCGCTCGCCAGACGGTTCTGTCTGATGGGAGCAGCGCAGCAGTGAGACCCCGGCCACCTGGTCTCCAGCTGAGGACAGTGAGAGAAAGCCCTCCGGCCCCCATTCCCTATCGGGTCCCTGCAACTGACCTGGCCATCAGCAGACTGTCCTGAGGGATGGCTGCAGGGCCCCTGATGGACTTCCTGTCCCCAGGTCTTGTGGACTTCTCTGTGCATTCAAGGCCTTAGGAGCAGGTGGGAGGGGCAGCCAGGGGCCACTGGCCAGGCGAGGGGCAGTCAGGAGGGCCCCATGTGGTGTCTGTCTGCCCCACAGTGGGGGGCTCCTCCCAGCACAGGAGGCCCTTGTGGAAGGCCGCGTCACAGCTCACTGGGCCTGTTTGTGAAGGGTTAATCCCTGAGCTCGAAGCTGATGCTTACTCACCCAGGGTCTGCCCTGGGAGGCCAGAGGTGGCCACTCGTCTTGCTGTCTGGGGCTGTTCAAGGGCAGTTCTAATCCTGAGTGACCCAGACTCTCACCATAAGGCAGATGCCCCTGAGGAGAGCCCGCCGTCTCGCCCCTCGCCCGTCCTTCTCTCTGCCATGGCTGCTGCACTCACTAGGGCCCGGGTGCTGTGACAGGTGGCCCACGAGGCTCCAGGCGACGTGGTGGACATCACCTGATGCCTGTCTCCCCGGAGGCCTGTGTCTCCCCAGGCTGGGAGTGGCCGTGCAGTCCCTCGGGGGCTCGGTGGCGGCTGTCTGGTTGCCGTCCTTGTCTGCACTTCTCTCCTTTCCCAGGCCGCCCCTGCACCTGTGCGTCCCCTCCCTGCGGCCCTCGTGGCAGGTTAGCAGCTCTGCCGCCGCGTGGCCTTAGGGCTGGAGCTGGGGCGCTGGGGCAGGAGCTCGCCCCTCCTTGTTCTGGGCCTTCCACCCTTGCTGAGGCCGGGCCCTGCTGGGCCTGGAGAGGAGGCAGCTTGAGAGCTGCAGGTGTGGCCAGGAGGGGGCCTGGAGGTGGCCCAAGGGACTTGCCAGTGACTGAGGGAGCCCCGGGGTGACCCGTAACTGGGAGTGGGGTGGAGGGGTCTGATGGGTCCCTGCAGCCCCGGCTTCGGGAAGGCGACGCTCCCCGTGCACTGAGACCTGATCTGACGTTGTATGGAACCCAAGTCCTGGACTGGGTGTGGATCAGGGACGGAGCACTCGCCTGGCCAAGGGAGGCCCTGGGGAAAAAAGAAAAAGAAAAATCCTGTAATTGTAAGTCTCCTTCCAATCACATGTTAACGTGGCTGTGTTCCGGCCTCGGGAGGCTGCCATCCAGGGCACATCAAGCCCTTCCCCCCTGCTGCACCTACTGTGTGCCATTGTAACTAAGGCTCAGGAAGAGGCTCGAGGAGGTGATGTGCATAGCAGGAGCCTGTCTGTCCTTCCTGTGCCAGCAGCAATGTGTGGGCTGGGTTGGCGGATGGGCTGGGTTGGCGGGTGGGCAGGTGCAGGGCCCAAGGCCAGATGTGTGAGGGGTGTGAGGATGGCTGCAGCTGTTCCAAGGGCAAGGCAGGTAGCGTGAGCATCAATCATCCTCTTGAACTTGACCCTCAGGGTGCAGGGTGCAGACTGGCTAGTGGCCTTGGCCCTCCCGTCTGAGCCAGTGAAGCAGCAGTGGAGAGGCTGAGGAGCCACATCTGGCCTCCTTCCACAGAGGACGGTCAGGCCAAACAGGGTGCAAACTACCTGTCCTCAGGTTAAAATTAGCAGCGATGGCTTTGTGTGACTTCTCCGGAACCTGCTGGTTCAAAAGTATGTCAGAATTTCTAGGTTGTAGCCAGGCGTGGTGGTGCGAGCCTTTAATTCCAGTGACTCTGGAGACGGAGGCAGGAGGATGGCAAGTTTGAGGCCAGCCTGGGCAATTTAGTGAGAGGCTGGGGTGCAGCTCGTGGTCAGGCGCCCCTGGGTTCCACCCCAGGACCAAAGAAACAAGTTTCTGGGCTGGGGTGTTTCTCTGTGGTGAGGTGCTGACCCTGTCCCGGCCAAACGGCAGCTTCCACGCCCAGTACAGGGCCCAGGCAGCACGAGGGGGGCGCAGGCGAGGCTGCAGGGGCTCTGAGGACCGTGCCCTCAGCCTGGAGGCTGGGAGGCCTGCGCGGAGGTTGATGCTAGAGCCACGTCAGGACCACCAGCACCTGGGAGGTGACTTCTGGTCCCTTGGAGCTCAGGAGCCGCTCCAAGCTGTGCACAGGCACTGAATCGGGGCAGCGACTGGCCAGCTGTTTCCAAAGCAGAAGCTCTGGAGGGCGAAGAAGCAGGTGTGAACTGGAGGAGCGGTCAGCCATCTTGGGGCTCAGGGTCAGACCAGGTCCAGGTTTCTGGGACACGGTGGAGCTGCTGGGAGACTAACGGTGACCTGGGCAGGGAGCCTTCTGTGCCTCGCAGACCTGGCACTTCAGCAGAATGATCTGCAGACCTTCAGGAAATCAGTCCACCGTGGTCATGGCCCCTGGGACCAAGGCACGTAGAGCAGGTCCCGTGACGTCCTCTGGGCCCTCCAGAATCCAGGCTCCTTGGGTCCTGTGTGCCTGACACCTGTAGCTCCGTAGAGCCCATACACAGCTACCTCCTGTGAGGGGTGTTGGCACCCCAGACGCTGAGCCACGTTCGTCCTGCACCCCTGGGGCTCCCGGGCCGGCCGGCACTGTGGGCCTCACCCCACCCCCTGCCCTCTGCCCAGCACGCTGCTGCGTGGCCTCCCCTAGCAGCACATCACAGGAGGGAGAGACAAGGCCCTTCTGTTAGGAGAGTCTGCCGTGGCCAGGTTGGAAATACTGGCTTCCCCCCAGCACAAGGCCCTCCACGAAGTTCCCTTGTTTGGTGACAGAGGGAGGCTCCAGAGGCCTCGGGTCTTGCTCTTCTTTCCGACTGAGAAGGTCGCTGGATTTCTGCCACTAGAAGGCTGTTGGGGACAGAAGCTGCCGCTGACGAAACCCTGGGTGGCTGCGGCTCCCAGGGGTGACCGGTGAGGAGAGCGGCCATGCACCTGGCAGCCTGGCCAGGGCTCGAAGGGGCGTGCAAGGCCCCAGGTGCCACGCCCCACCTGGCCTGGCTGAGTCTGTCCACCCACCGCCCCTCTGGAGTGTCTCTCAGGGACGTTGACACTTGTTACTCAGGCACCTTAAATTATGAAAATGAGGGGAGAGGGTCTGAAAGCACCTCGTTTTCCTTAGATACTGTTAATTACACTTGGAGAATCAGCCACTTCTGTGATCATAAGTGCTCATTAAGCACATTTCTATTTTTGAAGTAAGATGATACTCAAGTCCTTGAGAGACTCCAAAGAGAGGTACACACCCTTGAATCATGAGTGTGTGTGAGTGTGGGTCTCTGTGTGCCTGTGTGCACCTGTTGACATCAACCATCCAAGGCCTCAGGTGACCTGGGGTCGCACCGAGGGCCCTGTGTTGCCATCTCCATGCCAACCAGGTCCCATGTTCTCTTTGGACCTGTGCACTCTCCGAAGAGATCAGGGTCACTTATGACAAGACCTGAGCACTGTGCTGGGCCCGGGCTGAGCATCCAGGGTCTTTGGCTCTGGTGGAGTTCTGTGCCTGTCACACTGGTGGCCTCCTAAGGAATGCTTGTGTGCCAGTGGCAAAGCTCCGTGGGCCTAGACACGGCCATGGGCCTTGTCCCAGGGAGACCTAGACTAGGGTGTCCCAGGCGCAGGGCACACCTGTTACATGTTCACGTGGCCCAACCCCACGTTGTGGAGGCTGTGCCCCGGCTAGAGGGAGGCCCGGGCCTTGCTGCTGGGGCCCCTTGCCGTCAGGGCTGCTTTCTGCAGTGGTGACTCCTGAGCAGATTCCCACGCCCCGCACTCAGAGCCACACTGTGGTCACCCCCAGACAGAGGAGGGCGTGATCCCTGGCCACAGACAGGCGTCTGCGTGGTCAGGGCCCAGAGCTGTGCAGCCAGGCCCTGTGGTGGGCCCACTGTTTCCCTGAAATTCAGCCCCGCTGCTGAGAGGTGCCTTGGTGTGGACGCTGCCTTCGCAGTGTTCCCGTGACCTTCACGGTCGGCCCTGCTTTCCACGCTCTCTCCCGCGGATGATGCTCCATGCAGTCTCTTGCTGCCATTGAGGTGTGGGTCACAAGGTGCACCTGCCGGCCACGCGGAGGTGGGCGAGCACCAACACCTCGCAGTCTCGCAGAGGAGGGCCTCGCTGCTCCCTGGGGCCTCCGTGAGGCTGGGGCAGCCGCTGGGGCCGCAGGGACTGCAGGGGCAGGCATGGCCGCTGTGAAGAGCTGCTGGGTGCCACTGCAAGGTCCCCTCGCTCTTCCCGGCCTCCTCTGCCCTTCAGCCAAGCTCTGTGCGCCTCTTCTGCTGGCCACGGAGGAGAGGCAGGGCCTCCACTGGGTGCCCGCATCCCACCGTGCCCCTCCCTCTCAGGGTCGACCGACTGCGTGTGCTACTCCACCGTGGGCACCAACGACGCCGAGACGTCCGCCCTGCACATCGTGGTTGGTGAGCTGCCTCCCCGCCACCCCCAGGGCACAGGCCACCAGCGCTGCCATTTCTCAGTGGCCCTGCTTCCTTGTGCCCCGTGGCCTTGCCCACCACCGCAGGAGTCCAGCCTGGCATCCCTTCGCCCCAGCCACACTGCCTCGCCCGCACCCCGGGTCTGTCTCCCAGGCCCGTCTGGGGCCTTTTGAAAACATGAACCCATCGTGCCAGACCCTTCTCAGCACCCAGGGGCGCAGGCCTGGTGACGGACCAGGCGCCACCCCACAGCGCCCCTGCTCCGGTTCTTGTCCCTGCTGGGTCCTGGAGCTCCTGCCACGCTCTGCCTCGAGCTGCCACTGCCTCTGGCCTCCGCTCAGCTCCGCGCCCACAGCCTTAGCAGCACCCCACGGCCGCCAGCCCCCTGTGCCTCACCCGCGGTTCCATCCCGCTGCTTTCATGCATGCTCTCGGGACGCCCCTGGGTGCCCACTCTGCCTGGGGCAGGAGGTGGCCTGGCCTTCCTGGTGCTGTGGTCAGGGGTGGCTGTGGGTGTGGCCCCCTCCCATCTCTTGGCAAAGTATCTGCCAGGCTGCAGGTGATTCACTCCTTCAGGTGGCAGGTGCCCAGCGCCTGCCCAGCCCCTGGCAGGGAGAGGAGGGCCGTGGAACCTCTGAGCTCCCCGTCACAGCACCTGGCTGACCCGGACCCAAGAGACCTCGTGTTTTAAAATAGCCACTTAGGACTTTGTATTTTTTGCTATCTGCCTTCCCTTCAGTCTCAGACCCTCCCCTTTCAGTTAGTGACATTGGTGAGCTTCATGGGTACAGGCTTATCCTGTCCCCAGGAACAGCTTCCCAGGAAATTTGAGACACGTGTCATTTGAACCAAAAACAGGGAATCAAAAGAGGGACCCTGTGCTGGTCACATTCTTTCTCCTCTGAGATCAGGGTGCTTTGGGAACTGCCCTGACCACACCTGTGCTCTCCTGCAGGGGACTCGCTGTCCATGGACGTGTCCTCGGTGCACCACAACAACATGCTGCTGCGGTACTCAGTGTCCCTGCTGGGCTACGGCTTCTATGGGGACTTGATTGAGGACAGTGAGAAGAAGCGGTGGATGGGGCCTGCCAGATACGACTTTTCAGGTAACTCAGAAGAGCGTGCTGAGCCGAGTGCCGACTGAGTCCAAGGGGTCTGATTTAATCACCAGCCCCCGAGCGAGGCCACCTGTGCAGACGGAGCTCACGGGCCTCGGCCACCTGTAGCTGGAAGTGTGAGGCCTGGACTTGGCCCTGGATTGTGTGATCCTGTTCCTGGACCCAGCACAGGTGTCTGCACAGGGCGGCCAGCCCGCGGGGATGGCTCGAGTGAAAGTCCTAGGAGGAAAGAGTCCATTCCCATCACTGGAGCCGCAGTGGCAAGACCCGCACTGCTGGGTTTCTGTTCTCGCGACTAAAAGGCTCAGGGGTCACTCTAGTTAAACTGGGCTAACTGGGCTGCACGAAATAACCGCACAAGAGACACAAATACCTTTTTCTTTGGGGTTGCTGTGACGGCTCCTCTGACCTTAAGGGTCCGCAGAAAGAGAGAGAGAGAAAGAGAGAGCACACGCGCTGACCCCTTTTATTGAGGAGAAGTTATTTAAATGAGGCAAGGGGTCAGGTTTCAGGGGGCTGAGTCTATCTTCATGATGTCCACTGTCAGCAGGTTGACTGACACCTGGGTAGGCCACACCCAAGGGCACAGTAAGAGGAGGGGACACACACAAGGCACTTCCATGGATGATTCTATCCTAAATAGGGCAAGGGGTTAGATTACAAAGGAACAAGTGATGAGCATAGCTTCACCCATGGGGCTGTAGCAAGACACACCCATTTCTGTGACTGAGCGCCTCAGCACCCAGCTGGGGAGTGTAATTCAGTAAGGTTGGCCTCCCACACCGCACCGTGGGGGGTTGGCCCTCCCCGCACGGGCGGCAGCCTGCCCTTCAGATCCCCAACAGATGCACTCTGTTGTCCAAGTTCTGGGGTAGGGGCCACATCACTCAGCACTCACTTGTGAGCACCTGCCCGGCCAGGCGGGCTCTCCTGCCCAGGACGCGCCCCTGAGCAGGACAGGTGAGAGCCTGCCTCCGTGAGGCTGCGCCTGCTCCCCAGGCCGGGCGCTCCGGCTCCCCCTGCGCAGGCCTGGCGCGCAGGGGCTTCACTGCCATGTCACAGCTGAGAAAACGGGCACCACAGCTGAGTGACCACCCTCCTGCAGGTCTCGGCTCTCAGACTGGGTGGCCATCAGTGTCCCCTGGCAGCACGTTAGAACCCAGAGCTTGGGGCCACCCTGAGACCCCCAGGCAGGTGTGGGAACAGCAAGTCCACCAGGCTCCCTGGGGACCTTGTCACCTGCTCTCACAGCTGGAATGAACAGGAAACAGAAGTTGGTGCTGCTAGCTTCTGGAGGTGGGTGCAGCTTTCAGATGCAGAAAAGAGGGACTTTGAAAAGATGTGGAATTTAAGGTTGGACTCCTCAAGCATCCGGCTGAGTTCCTTTGCTGTATGTAGTGACTGTCACTTATCTGGTCCCCACTGCATTCAGGTGGATGGGATATCCCAGACCCCAGGGCCTGGCCCTTCCCCCTGAGGGGAAGGAGAGGGACTTGGTGGTTTTGTGCAGCCTAGAGACTGTAGCATGGCGTGAAGGGCTAAAGCTACTCCTCACCCCACCTCCGTTAAGGAAAGGAGTCCTGAATCTCCATGAAGGGCCAACCTGTTCCTGGCTGCCCTTGTGGAGCAGGTGGCTGGCTCAGCAGGCCGCCCCTTCCCCAGCCCCTCAGCACAGTCCCTGCCCTAGTCTCATGTCCCACCCCTGTGGCCCGGCTTTAGCCCTGAGAGTCTGGAGCGAGTGGGTTTGCGTTCAGCTGCTGAGAGGTTGAAGTCCTGTCGTCTGGCAGAGCCTGGGGGAGGTGGAGCTGAGTGGGCAGGTGCCATCCTACACCTGGAGGTTTAGCGGGGGCAGAAGTGGGGACACCCAGGCTCAATGAGGCTGCCACAGAGGTGGCTGGTGCCGTGAGGCGGCTGTCCCCAAAGCACCCTGCAGGAGTCTGGCTGCACCCTGTGCCTTAGTGAGGGACACACATGCCAGGCTGCTCACCATGGGTCGGCCTCCTTAAGGCCTTGGACACTGGACATCTCATGGGGCCTACAGGGGAGGGGGGAGAGAAGCCAGGGCCACCATGCAGAATGGCATGAGCCCCTGCAGGGCCACCTGGGAAGCTGTTTCTCACGGAGCAGATGATCCTGGGCATGTTCCCCGAGCCCAGCCCCCGCCAGGTGCGAGCCAAACAGGACGAGCACAAAGGGTGGGTGGCAAGCCGTGGAGCTGCCCAGGCTGGCCCAGGGCTGTGGATGGAACCCTGCCCCAGGGGCCAGGTGCTGGGGTCTGTGGGTGAGGGCTTGTGGAGGTGGCCTGGGCACTGTGTGGAAGTTGGAGGTCAGTGTGTTGGGGATCAGGAGAGGTGGAGCCCCCAGTGGCTCCCGAGGCCAGCATCATACCACAGCAGGTGTGGGCTGGACACTGTGGCCATGCAGGCCTGTACTGGGCTCAGCAGCAGAAAAGGAGGTGTGATGTCACCCTTGCAGGATACACCTGTCCCACGTGCCCGGCTCCCCCCAGGCCCTTCGCACCCACTGCCTCTCCCTGCTGGCCTGCTCCGGCTTCCCGGGCCCCTCCAGGGGCTTTGCCCAGTGCTGGAGAGCCAGGACCGCGGGCAGCACCGTGGACAGCACCCACAGGACAGCTGCCCTGGCCCTTGCCCTGAGCCTTCCAGGCTGTCACACGTATGGTGGGTGCCTCTGGCAGGGGCCAAACCTGGAGGGGGACACTGCTGACCACTCTGAAGTGGGGAGACAAGGACCCAGGCCACTGGGACCTGCAGGCCACATCATGGAGGCCCTGCAGGGCAGTGACACAAAGACCCTGCCTTGCCAGCATGGAAGGGCCACAGCTCTGACCTCTGTTGTCCCTGCCCAGATGTGCAGGGCCAAGCCCCTGCGGTTCCCTCCGGTGGCCTCCGGGGGCTCCCTTTCCTCCCTGGCTGTCCACAGCTGTGTCACAGTCGCAGCCAGGCAATGACCTGCAACGTTCTCTCTTGGCCACACTCTGTCCCCAGGTTTGAAGACCTTTCTCTCACATCACTGCTACGAAGGGACAGTGTCTTTCCTCCCAGCCCAGCACACCACGGGATCCCCACGGGATCCGAAGCCCTGCCGGTCAGGGTAAGCACACCTCCACGTCTTTCTGTTACACCTGAGGTAAAACGGGGCCTGGGCTGGGGCTTGTTCCGTAGGAGCTGGACGTATAGGAAGACGCTGGTTTCTGAGGGCGCGAGCAGGGTGTGGAGGCCTGAGGCTCCGCGGGCCGGCTCCTGCCTCCCCTGGCCCCGTGCACCTGGAGCACCTGGGATGAGCAGAGCAGGCTGGAAGGGACACGGGCAGCTGTCTCATCCACAGCTGGGCGTGTGCGCTCCGGCACAGGGAGGGACTGCTGGCAAGGCTGGTCTGATGGAACTGTCTCAGCAGCCCTTGTCCCCACCCCTGGCAAGACCCTGCTCCACTCTGCTAGGCTCCACAATGGGAGCTCTCCCCTGATCAGGAGCCCTGGCCAGTCCCCCGGCCCCTCAGAAGGCAGGGAGCAGCCGGAGCAAGAGCCCAGGTGCCCACCAAGGGGCAGACCAGGCAGCTCTGGGGGAGAAGAGGCCAGGAGGGGGAAGGCCAGGAGATCCGGCCTCCCTGTGGGCACAGAACCCCAGGAAACCTCGACTGAGCAGCCCCGGCTTATGGCCACCCCAGTGACAGCACAGCATGTGTCTGCCTGACCACCTGTGCTGCCGGAGGCTAGGAGACAGTGACGCTCTGGAGGACACACAGTCCTTGAATGACCATCCCACGTCCTCACCTGTGAGCAAGGAGTTTGAGGCCATCGAGTCAGAGGGTCTAGCTGCTGCCTTGCCAATGCCACCAGTGTCCACAGCCTCTGGCTGCTGTGTAGCCCAGCAGCACCCAGTGCGCACCTGGGTGGCGACCGCATCTGGGTTGAGGGCTCAGAGCTGCCTGTCTGCTGCTCTTGGCTGGGACCAGTGCCCCTCAGGGATTGGCCTGAGCGCCCAGCTCCAGGTGAGTTCTCCGTGGGACCCCACCGCCGTGGGCGCTGGCGCTGCTGGAGCCGCCCAGCAAGGGAGCCACGGGCGCCGTGCCCCGCGCCCTGTGGGATATGAGCGCACCTTGGCGCAGGATGCTGGTGAACTTCAGAAGCCGAACCTCAGAAGCAGTCTAACTTGGAGAATTCCAGTTGGCACACTAAAGAAATATGTTCAGTCGGCCTTGAACTGAACTGTGCGTCCCGGGAAGAGAACTGCGCCTGACCGTGGGCGCCAGGCCCTGCCCTCGGGAGAGGGTGACCGGTGACGGCTCTCTTTCAGATGCCTGGTGTGCAGGCAGAGCAGGCAGCAGCTGGAGCAGGAGCAAACCCTGCGCGGCCCGCCGGACTCTGGTCAGTCCCCCACCCCGTCCTCCCCGGGTGCCCGCCCCCTCCTCTGCCCAGCTCTTCCTTTCCTGCTCCCCGTGCCTCTGTGTCTCTGGCTTTCCTGCAGCGGGCCTGAGGCCTGGGGGACCTCCTCTGTGGACGTCCTCTGTCTCAGCCACGCAGCTTGCCCCGAGCCAAGCTGCCTCACGCCACACGCAGATACTGCGCTTGCTGCCGCCATGAAGCCTTGCTCACGGACACCGGGATTTCCCGTCACAACATGTCATTATCCCTATTTTCTTTGTTAAAGAACACTGCCCGCCTACTTCGTCATGCTGGGCAAAGCAGGACAGAGCCGGCGAGCGCTTTCTCCTTGGCGGCTGGGGCTGAGCCCGGGCCCCCTGCACTGCGCACGCGCCCACCCCCAGCCACCTCCTCAGCTCCCCTTCTTTTCTTCGCTGCTGAGGACGCCCTGGCCCTTTCCAGGTTGGGCTTCACTGCCCGCGTTCCATCGCCCGGGCTGTCCTGTCATGAAATGTCCCCAGGAGTCCCTCGAGGACAGAGCCTGGGCCATATCACTGCCTTGGTCACATCTCCACTTTTCCTCTTTTCTGGTCGATGGCACATGCAGTCACTAGATGGCAGCAGCGACGTCCCACAGTGGCCATCTCTGCCACCTGGACTCCCCGCTTTCTGGGCTGCCCTGCACCCGGGGTGATCACTCTCTTTCATCACCTGCTTCTTAAGGTGCTGTGCTTCCTGCAGAGACAAGGAGGAAACACAAGTCCACTCCCCACTGTCCGTGTGTCCGTCTTCCTCCCGCATTCCCAGTGCTCACCGTCCCCAGCTCCCAGACTCCTCCTGGGCCTGTTCAGTGGCAGCTTCTGTCAAATCTCTTGCACCTGCTGATCAGACCAACCGTTTCCGTGGTTGAACAACTGGGGGGCCGTTTGGCAGAGACTCGAGCTGATGGAGGAGGGGCACTGCCAGCAATGCTCCTGGCCTGGCAGGAGCCTCTGTCCTTGACCAGGCCATCATCAGCATTGAGTCCCAGACAGAGGGGGGCGGACAGTGGCCTCGTCACAGCCAGTTAGCCTGTAGCTGAGCTCTGGGTCTCTATTCCGTACCCCAACATGTGTTAGGGCTGGGCTGGTGGCTTGGCGGGAGCGGGCTGGTTTAGCACGGCAGGTCCTGCGTCCATCCCGGAAGGCCGCGGCTGCATGTGCGCTGGGCCGAACCAGCGCCAAGGACTCACCAACGCCGCCCAGCTCTCCCATCAGGACCCCTGCTATCATCTTCTGCCACTCCTAGCTCCCAGGCCAAAGGCACATGGCCGGCTGGACTAGGTCCAGGTGGTGTTCACTGACCCATGCTCCAGATCACTACCTACAAGTTGCTGGGGACCCTGGGGTTCAGCGTCAGTGCAGCTTCCTGGGGCAGGTGGCCCTTTCTAGGCGACGTTACTGGTTTGGATGGCAGTCGCATGAGAAACGTGCTGAACGTCACCAGGGTGAAAGCTCAGGGCACCCAAGGCACAGGCCGTAGCTGCGGCCCTGAGCCCCACTGCACGGCGACATCGGCCCTGTTCTTTCTGCTTCAGAGAAGGTGGAGGAGTGGCATGTCATCTGCGGGAAGTTTCTGGCCATTAATGCCACGAACATGTCCTGTGCTTGTCCCCGGAGCCCTAGAGGCCTGTCCCCAGCCGCCCACCTGGGAGATGGGACTTTCGACCTCATCCTCATCCGGAAGTGCTCCAGGTTCAACTTCCTGAGATTCCTCCTCAGGCACACCAACCAGTACGACCAGGTCAGTGGACAGGCGGACGCGCAGCGAGGACGAGGAGCTTCCCGAGGGTGGTCCTGGTCCCACATTGCAGGAGTGCGTTGTGTAGTTCCAAGGAAGGCAGCAAGGACAGATCTTTTGTTTTGCTTTTCTCCAGTTTTAAACTGGTCAGTTGCTCCTTGTGAAGTCCATTTTGAAATGTCACTCTTGGAGCACAGAAACTCAGGGCTGCGCATTTCCCAACTTCTCCCTATGCTGCTCTTCCGGATCCTCCTTGCAGGCCCTCCAAGTCCGGCTCCAGGAGTGGGCTGTGTTCAGACCCTGCCGCCCCCCCCCCCGCCCCCCGGCACCGGCGGGCTGGGGGGGGGGGGGCGGGGGCGGGGGGGGGGGGGCTGGGGTCGGTTGGGGGGGCCTGGGTCAGTCAGGGGAGGCCTGGGATATTTTATCACAGCCTCTTAATTTTAGTGAAATTTTGGCTTTTTGCTTAAATTGTGTTTTAGATGCTTAGTCCAGTGGTATTTTTATACAGCTTTTGAGAGGACAGAAGAATCTACAAAGCACTGCTAGTTAACCACCAGAGCTCTTTAAGAAGTGGTGGTCCCTGCGAAGGGCTAAGCATTTCAAAGTCTTGGTGTGGCTTGACCAGGGCCCGGGGAGGGCAGTTCTGGGTGGCTGTCTCTAAGTGGTCAGACCAGCTGGAGAGGGTGGCTCAGAGTGGCTGCCTGACAGCTGGACCACGAGCTCGTAGGAACTGGAGGCCCGTGGGCCCGAGGGCAAGGAGCAGGCGTTGCCCACGGTGAGTGAGGACCCTGCTTCCCCTTCCCCCGCCCCGGTAGTTTGACTTCAGTTTTGTTGAAGTCTATCGCGTGAAGAAATTCCAGTTCACCTCCAAGTCCCTGGATGAAGAGGACCACACCCTCAAGGACGGGGGAAAGCAGGGGTTGGGGCAGATCTGCTGTGACAACCCCGCCTCCTGCTGCTCGGCCCCCCGGAGCTCCTGGAACTGCGACGGGGAGATTCTGCACAGCTCTGCCATCGAGGTCAGGTGAGCGGAGGCCCAGCTCCGGGGGTGCCCAGGCTGTGGGTGCCAAGGAGAGCTCCGGTTTGTTGCAGTCCTCCTTGGGTGGTCAGGTGCGGAGCGCAGGAGGGGGGGGAGCACTGGCAGAGCCTTCTCCAGGGCTCTGAAGCCCTCTCCTCTCTTCTTCTTCTCTGCGACACCTGACACCCAGCGGGCATGGTCTCTCCTGGGCATTCTTTCTTTTCTGATAAATCATTCAAAAACAAACGAGTGAGCTGCCTTCACAGGCACTTCTCAAGTCCTGGGCCCCTGCATCCACGGGCAGTCATCGGGCCTTGCAGGGCCTGCTGAGGGGCCTCATGCTGGTGCACAAGGGGCGGCTGCCCTGGCAGAGGGCAGAGGGGCCTGGGAAGAGCACAAGGCTGGCAGAGAAAGTGGGGGGGGCACAGAGGGGAAGCTCAGGGTGTGGAGCAGCAGCCTCAGGGTTCCCCAGAGACCCTGGGCCCACGGGCTGCTGGGACCTCTGCTCCAGCACCAAGAGCTTCCACCATTCACATCTAAATAAGGCAAGTGGATAGGACGTCTTTAGATGTCCCCAAGCCCTGGGCCCAGGCTCCATTTCCTTCTGGTGCATGTGGCAGTTGGTGGTCAGCCAGCTCCTGCCTGAGCACAAGGGCTGACAAGGTCCCAGGAAGTCACCACAGCAGCCGCTGTGCACCGAGGGATCGCTTTCTGCTAGCTTGCCTGACACGTCAGGGAGGTGGAATTAAAGAAATAGAAAGATTGGGCTGGGGCTGAGCTCAGGGGCAGAGCATTGCCAAGCACCTGTGAGGCCCTGGGTTCAATCCTTAGCACACATAAAAATAGATAAAGGTAAAAAAATTATAATGATCTCAAATTAGGAAGGTCTTCTTGACATATAGCCCATCTACCCTGCACCTTGGCACGTGCCACTTACTCTTGGGGTCTTAGTTGCTAGAATACATCTGTGGTTTTTCTAACAGTGGGGAATGAAGCCAACAGGGCTGTCCTGCATGGGACCCAGGACCTCCACGCTGCTGGTCAGGGGACCTCTAGGACCCCTGATCTACTCCCCTCTGGGGGGCTCTTGCTGGGGAGAGGCTGTGCGGGAAGGGGAAGCCACGGCACATGGAATAGAGGCACTTGGGATTGTCCCCCTACTGTGGAGGGGTGTGGGAATTAGACCCAGGTCTGCTGGTGCCCTGGATCTTCCAAGTGGCGAAGAGCATCTCTACAGAGAGGCTCTGGAGTGCAGGACGGCCACGTGCCTGTGCCCTGGCAGTCAGCACCTGCCCTGTCCAGGTAGGGGACACACAGGAGTCACAGTGTGGCCCTTTGTCTCCACAGGGTCCACTGCCAGCTCATTCAGCTCTTTGCAAGAGGAATTGAAGAGACGCCTCAGCAGGAGCCCTGCAGCTGAGGGCCCCACCCGCCCCATGCGCGGAGGTGTGAAGACTATTTGATGACCACAGACCAATTATGTTGATATTTACATTTACATCTAGAAATTTATTTTTGATAGTTGGATCTTGATTTTAGAACAAGATTCGTTTTGTCAACAATTCTGCATACATATCTGGCATTTGGGTTCCCTGGGAGCTGAGTGGCGCTGCACACAACTGGTTTCTCAGCATCCAGTGCCGTGGGCGTGGGGCCTGGCCTCGGAGCTCAGCGACGCGGACAGCACAGATCTAAGGTCGGCCCCTAGCGGTTCCAGGGCAATGACTTTAGGGACACAGGAGTACTTTCCAGGAATCAGGCCCACCTTCTGGATGCAGGGGCCTGGGTCACCGATCTGCTTTATAAGATTCTTCTGGAATGGTCTGAGCAGGTTTTGGGAAACAGGTATTTCTTCATTTTACGTCCACCTTCCCTGTGGTCAGGGCGTTGCCATCTGGTGAGGCCTGAGGAGCCCCTGAGGGCAACGTTTGACCTTGCAAACCTCCTTTCCTGCTGCCCTCCCAGCTGTGTTCGTGAGACCGTCCACGGGCAGCTCCGCGGTGGCTATGCAGACGGCTGGAAACGCGCTGGTGAGGGCTCGTTCTCTTTAAAGGCAAAACATGGACATCGTATATGGACACAACGTGGGCTTTCTGGGGAGCAGAAAGCAGCGGGCATTCCACGGGGACATTCGCTTTGACAGGGTGGCCCTGACTCCAGCAGGCTGACCTGGCGCCGGCCTGCAGTCTCCTGTCGTCTCACGCTGACCTCTGTATCGACAGCATTGCCGTCCTCAGTGGGCCCAGCACAGTGGTGTCTCCGCCGTCTCCCCAGCCCTGAGCCATGATGGCAGCTTCCTGCTGAGGTCCTGGAGCCAGGGACCGGCCCCCTGCAGGCTTCCCGCCACTGGGCTCCTGACTGCGCCGGTCCTCCTTGTTTTCAGACTGACGTGTGATGAGCCCTGTGGAGTGGCACGTGAGGCAGCCTGACCTCTGGCCTGGAAGAGAAGGCACCACCTGTTAGGAGACCGTGGTTCACTGCTGCCGCTGTGGGTGGCTCCTCCACAGACCCCCAGGTGGCTGCCGCATCCGACAGAGAGCATCTGTTTTGGGGATTCTTTGCGTTGATTTGTATTTTGAGGCAGACACAAAGCCTCCTGTCTTGTCATTCGGTCCCACCCCGGCTTTTCCCGTGGCTTCTGTATTAGTGGACCGGGTTGGCAACGGCAGCCGTGTGGCTGGATGGTTCAGTAAGCCCAGGCTGAGTCACCGGCTGGGTGACAGTGGGCAGACCGGGCCTCTGTATTCAGGTTTGCTCCTGGTTGGGAAGAAACCAGAGAGCCAGAGTGGCAGCTTTTGAGGGGGCAATGACCACTTGTGCTCAGCAGCCGACAGGGGGCAACTTCAGGCCAGGGTGCTCCTAGGAGGTCCCACCTGGGATGACACCCTGACTCCTGCTTCCCTTGGGCCATTCCAGAAGGGCTCAGGTGGAGGGTCCTGAGGAGGCTGTGGCTGCCCATGAGAACTGGGCCATCTTACAAGCTTCCCCAAAGATTCGGAGTCCTGACCCTGTTAAATGCTTCCCAGGGCCTGGTCTGCCCAGAACCCCTGCCAACCTCGGAGGATGGCCCAGGCAGAAGACGCTGCGGTGAAACTTACTAGTGGCAGGCTTATTCTACAACCTGGGACTGCACAGGGGGCTGTGGCAGATGCCCCCAAAGCCCCCTGGGACTGCACGCAGGACGGAGGCAGCCTCTGCCATTCCAACGAATGGGCTCTGTCTGCCAGGAGGCCTCACAGCAACCCCAAGCCCTGGACTTGGGGACTTTAACAGAAGGACACCAGAAGTGATGGTAGACAGTGACAACTTGGGACCCCTGAGATGGGATGGTCTCTAAACTTCCTCTGTGGCTTTTTGGTGTGAAACAATCAGGCAGCAGTTCTGCCCTGTGACTGCGGTTCAAATCGAGAAGTGGGGGCGGGCAGTGCGGCTGGGAACGCCGTGGAGAGGGCTTAATTTTCTGCCTAATCTTGCTGGTTTCAAGATTAGTAAATAGCGTATTTGATCTGATATGTTTGAGAAGACAAAAATAAAGTTACTTTGGGCAGAATTTGGCATTTTCTCTTTCTTTTACAAATTTCTTTTCAAAGTAGAGTATTTTTCATGAAAATGAAAAATTTTCATATACAAAGAAGAAGAAATGAGTGAAGATGTGCGTGCTGCACCTGTGCCAGGACACCCAGCGGCACCAGAGCCTTGCGTGTTGCCCGGGCGAGCCTCCCCGCCTCCCCACGCAGGGCATGAAGCTGAAACCGCCTGGTGTGACTCGCTGCTCCTCCAAGGCCGACCGTGAGCTGTGGGCCTCATTGCTTACCTGGGGAACTGGGGGCTGGGCCCAACCCGTGGCTTTTGCTGGGGCAGCTCATCCCCCACCAGCACGACTGAGCCACGCTGGACTGCACCCACCACTCGGGAGCCTCCAGAGACCCCTGCCTCCCTCAGGCCAGGGTGCTCCCAGGAGGTCCCACCTGGGATGACACCCATGGCCCACCTGTGCCCTCCTGCTACACCTGCCTTTGGGACCAGGTGAGGGGCTGTAGTGTCTGAGGACAAGGTCCAGCTGTGCAGCTGGGGCTCAGGATGGTGCCGGGAAAGGGCAGAGGGGCAGCTGTGCTGGCCGTGGCGGAAGCATGCTCTCAGGAGGGGCTGTGGGTGCTGTAGATTGCCCCAGGGACCTTTGTCCCTTCTCTGCTGTCTCCCGGCACCCAGGACAGGCTGCAGTGGACGGGGGAGGGAGGGCAGGGGTGTGGGCATCTGACCCCTAGGGCCACACTCCCGAGGTTTCCACCGACTGACTCCCAGCGGCTCTGGGGGAGCCGGGCGGTCAGCTGGGAGGCCAGGCACTGTCAGTGTCCCACACAGGTCTCCGGTTTTAGAGGCCAGGTGGGTTCCTTGTCTTTCTGTGTCAACATCAGTGTCTCAATCAACCAAGTCACAATGTCACCAGGGACCCTTCTGGCCAGGAACCCAGGACCTGGCAGCTGAGTGGGGCCAGGGCCTGCACCCAACCCCAAGGCACTGCCTGGCCTTGGCCCTGCCCACCCAGAGCTGGCCTTTGGTGCCCTCCTGACAGCTGTCCCCTGCCATCTGGCCTCCATCTTCTGAGACCTGGGCCTGCCTCCTGATGCCCACAGCCCAGCAGGACTGGCTACCCACCCAGCCCTCCCTGAAGCCTTCCCTCACCCAGGTGGCCCTGCTGCCCAAACCCTGTGGCAGAGGGGGCCCTGCAGCCGCTCCAGCAGCCCCCAGGCCGCGCCCCGCCAAGAGAGCTGCGGACCCCAGACCTTAGCACAAAGCATTTTAATTTATTTAAATAAAAATTATAATTTATACAAGACTTTTCTTTAAACAAGGTTTTCTTAAAAAAATGTGACAGGGTGTTTTTCATCAGTTCTCCATACAGTACAATCCTTTTGTAGAACAAAAGTGACACCAGTGACGATTATTTACAGATCCAAAATAGACTCGAGCTCCGGACATACAAAATCGAACATTCATCTAGTTCAGTGATTAGTCACAGAAATTAAACATCTGTCCAGATTCACGCACTTCAGCGAAAACCCTGTTGGTCTCTAACAGGGAGCCCAGACCCTAGCAGGCCCCTGGCCAGGCCCATGGGCTCCAAGGAACACGGCTGCCTGCCAGCCGCTGGACTGTGGACCCCTGTTCCCCAACAGGCCTCAGGCCTTCCCGGGTGCAGTGTGGTCAGTCTGCATCTCCCTTCCTGTGAAAGGGACTCGAACTAACCTACTCGCTCTGCCAAGAGGCCCCTCCTCTCAGGGACCCTCCCCGCTGTGTGTGGGGATAGCACCCCAGTGTGCCCACAAGGAGGACTTACTGACCCTGGTCCCCAGGACCCAGCCTGGGGCACTGCCAAGGCCCAGAGAGAGGTCTGACACCACCCAGGGGTGTCACCCCACAGCCATCCCTGGGGACACGTCACGGATACCCTGCCTCCCCTTGGGCACCCTGGGGTCCTGCGGCCCCCATCTCGCCCCATGCACTTGAGCGCACCATCCCTGCAGGGGCCGAAGCCCTGGCCCAGGGCGGGTTCTGCCTTCATCGACGGAGGCTGACGAGCAGGGCCATCCGGCAGCTGGCACCCATGGCGCCCGGGGCGGGCAGCCTCCACCCTCTGGGTGGGATGTGTGCTTGACCTGGCTGGTCGGGGTGCTCGGCCCACGCACCAGAGTGTGACCCGGCAGCCCCCACCAGGTCTCACACCCGAGCCAGCAAATGAGGATCAGAGCTAAGGTAAAAATGTCACCTGAAAAACGATACAAAAATAAGAGACAGCTTGCTCTCTGTAAAAATATAATCTCTGTTTCTTCAAAAAACAACTATCTCAGTGACACCCGAAGGACTCAGACAAGCCGGGGAGGTGCAGGGCCACCTGGAAAGCGTGCGGACAGGGAGACCGTCACTCCTTTGGAGGCCCGGCCCTGTCCCAGGACCCCACGTGGCTTCTCACTTCAGACAAAACACAGATGTCCCAGGATACTCTGAGCCTGCGAGACGCTCCCTCGGCCTCCCCCACGGGCCACCGTGTTCCTGGGTAGCACGCGTCTTTCATCCAAGCCAGCAAGGGCTGCCCTGGGGCGGCTGGGCACTGGGAGTGGTCTGGGCCCAGATGAGTGCTTGGTGGGCACACAGGAAGAGAAATACTGTCAGATGTCCGGGGCAGGCCTCGGCCCCCGGAGCCTCCCAGCAGCTCACGGGCAGGGCACTGAGGCTTGGCCTCCACGGCCAGGGAGCTCTGGCTGCCCCGACTCCACCCCACTGACCCCCATGGTTGTGGCTGGAGGCCAAGCCTGGCCAGGCTGTGGCTGACCTTTACCTGACCAGCCAAGACTCAGAGCTGGGCAGTGTTCTCCTGGGCTTCTCCGGGGAGCACAGTGTCGAAGGGTGTGCCTTCACTCGCGCCCTGCACCCTCGAGGGTCGCCAGCCAAGGGGCCAAGATGGGCAGGTGGATGCGGCAGCTGGTGAGGGAAGCCCCTGCCCCCCAACCCCCTACTCTGAGGACCAGCATACTGGGGGTGGGGAGGGACCTCCGCACCCATCAGTGACACTTCCTAACCCCAGCAGGAGGGCCACAGACATGCTCAGCTATGGCTTTAGGGGGCGGCCTCTGGCTTTCCGAGACTGGGACTCGGGGGCTGCAGGAGCCCCTGGGGTGGCCGGGGCCAGGTCTCTACTGAGGCTAGGATGGACAAGGAGCTGTGCCTGGTGGGGATGGCGAGGGTCCTGCATGTCATCCTCTAACAGGCCTTGAGGATCCTCTGCCCACCTGTGTCTACAGGTGTCCACCAAGGGGCCCCACGTGCCTGGCAGGGGCATCTGTGCCGTCCTCGTGAGCTGCAGCCCCTCAGTGAAGGGGTCTGTGGAGCACGGTCAAGGCCACAGCAACCACAGGCCGAGGAGCAGCGTGGCAACTCCATCTGCCCCGTGTCGAGGGCCGTGAAGGTCCTGCGGTGGTGGGGGTCAGTACTAGCTGTCGCCACCAGAGGCTGCGGCCGAGGTGATCTTCACGTACTGGCTGAAGATGGTCTCGAAGGCCTCGTCCCTGTGCACCATGGCCCCGAACACCAGCGGCTGGCAGAAGAGGCACCCGGTGAGCAAGGCGCCAGGGATGAGCGCTGCCAGGCTGGGGCCAGGCCAAATCCGGCCAGGCGACCAGCAGCCACAGGGTGGCAGACGGCCTCCAGCCTTCACAGAGCGGGGGGCAGGGCACCCCACAGGCTCAGGCCCCTCCCTGAATGCCCCGTCGGCGTCCTCTGGGCCACAGCAACAGGTTCCTGCTGTCAAGATGGGGCCCTCTGCCATCACTGAAGCCACAGCTGGTCTGCAGCTCGGAGTGTCCCCTGGGTCCCCAGAGCCAAGCCCCTGCCACACCTCGACCCCACAGCAGCTGCCTGACACTTACTTTCTGAGTCGACGGTGTTGACACGGCAATGCCCATGCCTGAGCCCGGGAGGACGGACAGGACCTTGTACTGAAAGGGCAGCAGAGCGTCATTAGGGTTCTCTCGGGCTGGGGCCGCAGCTGGCCCTCCACAGGCCCAGGGAATTCACTAAGCACAGCCGTCCCAGCCACAGGCGGAGGGACCCAGGAGTGCCTTGTACCCTGCGACTGAGAAGCCAGACCTGCATGGCTCATCCGCTTCTCAGAGGGCAGATCCTAAGGACACTGCCTGTGGGGAGGAGCCCAGACCTGACTCCCAGGCCCTGAACCCAGAGGGGCCCCTGTCAGCACTGCCAACCCAGAGGCCAGGCCAGGAGGGCCCTGGCCTGACTGTGCCTCTGGTTACCCAACTGTACACCTTTTCTCTGCAGAGGGAGTGACCACAGCACCCACAGCCTGGGTGGGCCTGACATGCAACGGAGGGAAGGGAGCCCACCCAGCAGACTGCTTGGGTCCCCCCACAGCGGGTCTGTCCAGTTGGGCCTAGGAAGTCTCCAGACAGCAAACGCCCCAATGTACACAGTAAAACCCACCAGCTTTGTGGCCCTTGAGGATTTTTGTCCCTAAAACTGAAAGGAGATGGTAGAAATGCAGCGGGGCGGGGCGGGGGCACACCCACCTTCTGGATATCTGTGATGTCCATCAGCTTGATGACTTTGTTCCTCTTTGAAGACCCAGATCTGGAGCTTTCAAAGCACAGATAACTAGAGGGGGAAAGCGAGAGGGACAGTCCACACCAGAGCCACGTGGGGCTCCTGCCAAGCGGGTGCTCCCCGGGCTGCTGCTTCACAGCCCAGCCGTGCCCCCGCTGCAGCAAACAGCACCTACAGAAAAACCAGAGGCCTGGGCTCCACGCTAAACCGCGGCTTCCCTGCCCACGGGATTCCCCGCAAGGTGCGCTGGAGTCCAGGGGCCCGTTGAGGGCTCTGGGACTAGATCCTTCAGCGGAGCCTTGGCCGCTGCTGCAGGCTGGGGACAAGGTGACGTTGAGGCCCTGTACTCCCTCCTCCCACACCTGGGGCTGAGACAGTCTTGCCCGGCAGAGGAGAGATGAGGCCATCTCTGACTGCTGTGTCCAGACTGCAGCA